AGCAGCCCTGGCAAAAAGTTTCTCTCTCACTGCAGGCTAACAAGTCAGTCCAGCAGGAAGATGAATAGCTGCCTGCCACATCTATTCATCTCCTCCCCCTGCATTTATCCCCAGAGCTAGGGTGAGGCTTTGCTAGTAGCGGTGGCTCTTCTTTCCCAAGGATCAGCACACAGATTTCCACTGCTCTCCTCCTCTGCCTTCTGCGCATCTGTGTGTCAGGCACTGGACCCAGCTGTTCCTCCACTTCCTCATCAGCCACCTCAGACCTTGGGGCTGTTGACTTCATTTGAGGCCTGACGGACAGCCCAAACTTCGCTTCTGTCTCTCTTTCTGCCAGCTCCATTCCCTCCTACCCCCACTGGAGCTCTCAGGTTGCCTTTATGCTGACCCCGACTCCCATGTTCCTCCTCCTCTGATTTGGCTGCTGGAGGGGCCAGCGGCAGGCCACAACACAGCTGATTTCATAATACAAGTTGTGATCTGTGCTGCTCTGTTTTCAAGTGACTCGCTGTATGTTAGCTTGAATAATGTTGTTGTTTGGTACCTCTATTCTAGCTTGGGTGTAGAATGAGTGAAACTTCTTAGCAGTAGAGCTATCTAAAGCATGTGAATGATAGAAAAAAGTTATTATATGCAGGGTCTTTTATCCATTATATAGTGGATAATAAACCATTTTAGGCTACATGATAAATTTTAATTTTATTAAACTTAAAGACCAGAAAGCTGGTATTGAATAGATATATTTTAAACATTGTAGTTTTCCTGTAATAAGCACTGGTAGACAAGTGGTTTGGGAATAAGATGCTTGGCAAAATTTATATGCTTGGTAAAATCTCTCCCAATACCTGCTTTTCACTTTCTTCCTTGTTTCTTCTTTGAATTAGATTATGCATCTGTAAAAAGGAATCTGTGTCTTTCAATATCTTTTGTAGTGAACCTGCATAATGGTATGCATTACATAAATGCTAATATTTTTATTTATGTTCAGGTAACAGGATTGTCGCCACGATTACATGGAAAAGTTGATTTGCTGTTATTTAACCCACCTTATGTGGTAACCCCTTCTGCTGAGGTATGATCATGAGATTTAAGAATACCAATTAACAATTTACCAATTACCAATAATTTACAGCTTCTATAAAGTATCACTAGTATTGAAAAAGATCGATTAGTTGGAAATTATTTCACACTCCAACTTTTGCATTTTTAAATAATTACTTACATATAGAACATTATCCTTCACCGATGCTTTTGCTTGTTTCTACATCTCCTTTTGATATTTGTGGTTTAATCCCAATTCCATAGAAGCATAGAATATAATCATTGACTATATCTTGAAGATGATCTAATCTAGTTCCCTATCCATTGAAAAAATCCACTATTGTAGCATCTAACTACTGAAGAAGAATCTTCCCAAGAAACACAGAACAAGAACTGGAGAACAATTCTTAAATATGTGTAATGTCCAATAGAAATATGCATTATTATTTCTCCTTGCCCTGTCTTTTGAAATAACTTTGAACAAGTCTACTCTGTCTTCTGTATGACCTTTCAGCTCAATTTTCCATATTTTATTTGTTCTAGATACAAACTCATGGACTAGAGGCAGCCTGGGCTGGAGGTAAAAATGGCAGAGAGGTTATGGATAGACTCTTTCCACTTGTGTCAGACTTACTATCGGCAAGAGGATTGTTTTATTTAGTTACAATTAAAGAAAATAATCCAGGTAGCCATATCTCAATTTCTTCTAAAATATTGGGGTGGTTGTCGTGCAAAATACTTTTTAATAATTATGTAAAATCTTTAAGTCCTGGGTAAAAAATTGATTGTTGTAGATGCAGGAGCTTTATTATCTATATTACTATAGATTCCCTTTTAAATGTAGAGAGAAATTATAAAATGAAATAAAGCACAGGGACTAGTTTCTGACATTCATACATTGGGTAGATTAACTTATTTATCCTGCACTGAATACACAAGGTTGTAGTCATGACAGGCTATTAAGATTTAAAGAAATAGGCTAACTTTTTATTATATAGAAGTAAAATACACGGAAAAGGCTCCAGTGCACTGTCATCTCTTCCCACCCACCCCAAAGATTCAGTTAGGTTAACAGTAAAGTTAGTTGATGGTTCTAAAGTAAATGATAATCTCTTGTTTTAAATTGCAGATGAAATTATTAAAATATTGCAGGAATGTGGTTTAAATGGCAGTAAAGTAATTTCCAGACAAGCAGGGAGGGAATATCTCTCAGTTCTGAAATTCTACAAATCCTGAAGCTGGCTTCTGGAGGAATCTTCATATAGTAAACTCTTTGCTTTAAAATGCTATCTTGAATTAATGTGTTACATTTAATTAAGGTTAGATCCTAGATGTTGCCAACAAGTACACATTAACATATCTTAATTCAAAAATATGCATATTATTTCCATATGTGTAAAATCAAAATTTTGACAATAAAGTAAACATTTTACTTGGAATACTGCAATAAAATATTGCATAAACTGTTACATTCCTATCATATAGATATCTAGTAGAGAAATTGTGGCTGTTGTCCTAAGTTGCTTCTTTTTATCATTTGAGATTCTGAATGATGAACTTCATGGAATAGCTATTTCAAGTTTGAAATCGCTTTTTCAAAGTTACGAGAAATGTTTCAAGTTTAGAATATTTATTGGTATTTCATGTTGGCTTTATAAAAATAAGAATAAGCACGTGAAAGTTTTAAGTAAAAACAGCTGTTTCAACTTTGAAATAACTATTTCAGTTTCACACAGTGTTTCAGGTTTAGAATATCAATAGATAGAATACTTAAAATATGATTGGAACTGTTTCAAACTTGACTGTTTAAATTCAAAAAAATTTGCACATCACTGTTCCCTACTACAGCATTAGCAACTGCTGTAAGTTGCACTAGCTGGTTGAAATATTGTTTGCCGCTACTTCAAATTCAACATATAGTTTAAGGATCAGTACCACAGGTGCATATGTGGGTATCTCTAGCATGTGTATATCACTCTCATTTTGAACCTTTAACACCAATTCTAATCATGTTCTCTAATTGAACAAACTATTAAACTGCTCTTCATGCTGCTAAACATCTTTTGACCTTAACAGGACTTATGTAAAACAGAATATACTACGAAACGGCTAGAGGTCAAAAACTTACATGTCACCCATTTCAACATTTCATATCTGAATATTTTAAAGCAAAGATAGTAAGTAATACTAATAAATGATCAGTCTGTTTGAACTTTTTATTGTAAGGGGAAAAAATTAAGGTTTTACTGCTCAGTCCAAGTATGGTGGTTTTCAATTGCTTCTTTAGGCTCACTGAAGCAGAAAAATGATGTATATCAGAAGAAAGTCTCTCGGCAAAGAGGGCAAGTGGATTTGTTGCTAGATGTAAACCATTTGTACTAGAGAAATTTAGAAAGCAAATATTAAGAATAGCCTAGCATTTACTATTTACAATAAACACTAGCCAGTCAAGATTGAATACTTTATGGCATCTTTAAATCTATCTCTAAAGATAAATATTAAGTGCTATTTGTAATGAAGTATTTTCATTACAATACTAGGCCACTCCATGAAATAGAAACTCTTTTTCACAAACCAGTTTCCTTTAAGCTCTGATCTACATCGAAGGTATAAAAAAAACCCTGAAAAATAAAAACTTCTATTGCCCCTCAGAAAACAGCAAATCATTTCAATTTAAAGGCTCCTATAATTTGCTTAAAAGCTCCCTAGACAAAATTAACAAACTATTTTATTAAGCTATTTATTAAATGTTCATATGAATACTAGTAGCCTTAAAGCCATATACATTTTAGACTTGTTTTCCTTCAGAAATAATAACAAGTTAAGATACTTACCAGGCAGGCTGAATGGAACTTTTTCTTGCATGTTCTGCAAGCTTTTTTGGGGAGGGAGTAGTTGGAGCCATGTATAACTGAGAAACAGATCATGCAGTCTTCAACGCCCTCAAATCGTTTATCCACATTGTTTTTCCACAATGCTAGCCCTTCCATAATGCTTCCATTCTGTTGGGAAAATAATGCATTTCACAATTCAGTGAAATTTTTATCCCAATTTTCCATCTTATTGTTTACAATTTCCTGTTAATGCATGTAATGCATTCATAACAGAATATATAATATATACAGTAAGATTTTTATGTAGTGTTGATGTATTGAATAATCAATTTGACCTACTATATACTTTCCTGGGATATTGTTGCAGCACTGAAGATCAGTTACCATATTTTTCGGACTATAAGATGCACACACACCCNTGTGTGTGTGAGTCCTTTTTCTAATCTTAAGTTTGCACACATTAATATTGTGTGTGGGTGTGTTGTGCTTGGGTTTGTTTATTATTTATTTATTAAATATATTTATAAGGCCATCCACCTGTCAAAAGCATGCCGGACCTTGAACAAAGGTACAAAAAAAATCCCACCAAACTTCACAATCCATTACACACACAAACACACACAAATCCAAGGCTCCTAAATAAACACTAGTAGCAATGTAACAGACACACTAGCACACTAGAGTTGTATTAAAATCCTGGTCCTAGTGCTTGGAGAAATAGCCACTGTGCCAGCAGCTGGTTCTTTCTCAGCCCAACCCATCACAATGTGTTGTTGGTATGTTTGCTGCCTTGAGTCATTTATAAAAATAATTTAAAAAATGGCATATAAGTAAATAAAAACAAATAAAACTGCTACACGACAGATAAGGGAACTTCTCTCAAAGGGGGAGCCTGAACAGCATCTATTAACTGCACGCGATCTTTCCATCTCTAAGAGCGACGAATCGGTGGCTACTGTTCCTTGGAAGGGGCGGGCTTTAAGTGTCTCTGCCTCGATCATTGGGCATTTCTGACCAAGCGCAGGCGTGAAAGGAGCGGGGGGCCGGCTTTCCTTCTTTCTCTTGGCCGAGGCGTGCGATTCGCGAAGTCGGGAATAAAGAGATATTGTTTTTTTGTTTTGTTTTGCAGTCTATGGCTGCTTCAGGCTCATCTTCGGGGCCAAGAGAAAAACCGCGGCGGTGATGATCCCAACCCCGCGGCACCAGCACGTGGGTCCAGAGGGTCCCTTCAGCGCGGTTTATGAGCCCGCCGAAGACACCTACTTGCTGCTCGACGCCCTCGAGCAGGATGCCGAAGCTCTGAGAAGCGCCGGGTGAGGCGGCGATCGGAGGCGTTGCGCAAGCAAGGGAAGAGTTCGGGGAACTGCGCACGGCGGGCTTGGCAAGGGCGAGATAGGAAACATTGCTGCGCATTGCAATTTACATAGTCGATTTTAATGAAATTTGTAAACTTGGCCTGAGGTGTGCACATTGAATCAACCGCTTTTTTAAAAATAAAATAAAAACAGCTAGAAATGAACGTCCCTGAGAATTAAACTGGTACGCATCATATATGAGACGATTAAAAGAGTAAATAGACCAGCCAGTTATCATTGGTCTTGGAAAGCTTAAATAGGGTTCGTCAGGGACGAACATTTGACAGGGAAACCATCAGGAAAAGGCAGGGTTTGACAGAAAAGTGGGGATGGAGAAAGACTGGACAAAGAAGCTACATGGAATCCAATTCACTTAATAGGAGGTTTTTGTAATCTATTAAATAACATAGAACTCACCATAATGTATAAACTTTCTGGTTAACTTGTGACCTGTTATCTGTATCTTTTCCAAAGTAGTATGCTGCAAATACCATCTACTGTACATACTGCATTCTGTTCTGTTGCAGAAAAATTGTTTGGCCATTATTGCATCAAGTGACAGAAAATATTTTTTGCTGAGAAGAATTCAGATGAACTTTATAAAGAAAGGGTTTGTGTGTGTGTGTGTGTGTGTGCGCGCGCGCGCAGGCAACTGCTTGATTCTGCTAGAACTGCACCTAGCTGCAGGGACTAAGAATAAAGCAAATAAGCATATCTAAAATATTAATGTCCAAATAAAATCGAGACAGAAATAGAATAAAATCTATAAAGCCTCTAGACATAGGTTATCCGTAAATATAACATGCTTCCTTATTGATGTGTAAAATAGCATTGCAGGTAGAATTTAATCAATCTGAGAAATCAGCAAAGTTGAATAATGATAATAATACAATAATTTATTAAAGGTTGGATGCCACCCAACACTGAACAGCTCTGGGAAGCATACAAAAATAGTTATTTAATTTAAATTATAATTATGGCAATGATTTTTTACAAATGAAAGCAAATATAGCAATAGCAGTTAGACTTATATACCGCTTCATAGGGCTTTCAGCCCTCTCTAAGCG